GGAAACACATTTTGAGAACAAACAGAGCAGCCATGGTTTCTGAAGCTTAAAATATTTTTATTAATAAAAAAGTACAATAATCAAAGTGAACAAGATTGCTTAGTACCCCAGCACACACCCTGTCCAAATGTCACAGTAGGAGTGTCCCACTGAATTAGAATAGAGTAACCTGCAACTGTCCATTCTAACTGAGGCAATTCTTGAGTATCTCCGGTGCTTAACAGACTTGTGTCTGAGAGATCGCTCATGATCTCAGCCTCAGAGCCATGCCTCGGGAGCAAAAATTTGTACAAAATAGAGGAAAAACAGGGTGCCACTCCTAAGCACTAACAGAACAAACATAAAAGTTACATACACTAAAGCTTAATAAACTGTTTTATAATTTCATTAAACAAACTAACAATGATGAAAACCCAGTCAATCCCTTGATGGCAGGCTCCTTTTCCCCAACACAAAGAGAGTCCATTTGTGGCACAGCTCTCCTGCTGTGACCTCCAGTTAGTAAACAGGGCTGGGCACCATCAGGGACTCTTTCGCTTTTGCTCAGTAATACAATAAAAACAGCACTGCATATAACAAAGTAATGCTCAACACATCTACTTGTACTGGAAGGGAAGGAGAGTTTCTTAACAACTACCAAAAGAACATTTCTTCTCCTGTCCCTCACAATCAGAAAAGGAAGTGGAAAGCAAAACCAGTGCTAGCAAAACAAAAATCCCACCACTGGTATAAATCCCACCCTCTTCCAGCACACAACTACCCCAGTCACTCTGCCCCGTTTATTTCCTACACATACTTTCAGAATACAGCAAGGAAAGAGAGGACATGACTGATGCAACTGACCTGGCCAAAGGCGGAAGGGCATCAGAGAATTTGTCTTTGTGCTTCTCACAGAGTGAGGTGTAATGTGGTCCAAGTGGTGTGACTAAGCAGTGAATTGTAACTTTTTGAAGCATTGGACTTTGCCTATCTATTCCTTAGAGTCTAATAAGGATTTGAGTCTTGAAAAAAATCCTACAGCTAGTAACAAACAGAATGTAAGGGAAGTAAGCATAGGAAATCATGTTGTCTCCAGTGTCCACTTTCAATAACCCTTCTTACTGACTCAAGTTTAGCTCTTTATCATCTAGGAAGCCTAATCCTGTATTTTCACATAGTAAACATAGGGCAGTATAATTTTCATCATAGTGATGAATATAATACTTTGTTGTTCGTTTAGAGATCTCTCATCATTTTTGTCAACATCCATTAACGAGAAGCCTCACAACACTCCTGTGAGGTAGATATTTGGATCCCCATTTGGCAGATGGGCTAACTGAGGCACAAGCAAGTGATGTAACTTGCCTAAGGTCAATTAGTGAAAGAGGGGGGAGACACAGGAGACAGGTAACTCAGAGTAGCACTCCAACTGTCAGATAATCATATCTAGCAGTGAGAAATGACTGTTAGGTGTTTCCTTAAATTGTAGTCACCTAGATCTTCTGTATCCATCCTTCTATTGCACCTCACATAGGAAATAGTAAACTATAAAGAATCAATAGGTTCCCTTAGCTTATTCAAAGTTAGGTCAATTCCAAAGACTGAGCTAATGAGAGAACATTTTGAGGGTAGCTTAGACCCCAGATCACAGAAATAGCCAATGTTATATTTTAAAAAAAAGTTTCAAATATCTTCAGAATTCTAAAAAATATTTCTATCTTGTACATAAGCACGGTGTTAAAGTTGATAGTTTTGTTTTCCTTGGGTGTCCAGATTAATAATTCAGATAATACAATATATGTATATACTGGAATTAAACGATTAAGTAAATAGATGGCAGAGGGTGGGAGGCAGATTTCTCACTGTTGAAGAGAGAAACTATATGTAAGGAAAAAGCTAGAATAATCTGTGCAGTAATGATTTAAGAGTTGAAAACATAGACATGAACTCATGGTTAGCTAAATAAATAGATGGATAATTACATGTAGAAAGATCTATGTTTATATACATAAGTTAGTGTGTACACATATATTTCCTTGTCCCATCAGGCTTGGAAGCCCTAGAAGAAACTATATCCCAGTAGGAATAAGCATATCAAGTGCCCAGATCTTGGTTTCTAATACATTTACCTGGCTTAAGGGATCAGGACACCTTAGAGAAATGACTAACTATAGGAATAAACCTGTAGTTCAAGTATATAAGATGATCCTGGACCATCTTGCATTACCAGAAAGTAAAGCCACATTTAAAAGAATGATGCGGGCATATCAAACAAACTTGAGAGACAATCCAAAAAACTCCCATTGAACAAACCTGGAATAATTTGAACAAATAAAGTAGTATTGGGCTATAACACAAAGTATTAAATAAATATCCATGAGTCCATGTTAATATAAATAAATGAGTGCTTAAATAAATAAATGGAGAAATTGAAAAATCTCCTGTGCAAGCAGACAAATTTCAAGATTATTCACGAGTTCTTGCTCTCGAGGATGTGGTACATAATTCACCACCTCTGAAGCGTGGGCTGTGCATTAGTAACTTCCTTCCTATGAGTATAGTATGAAAGAGAGTAAAAGAGTACAGGAGACAAACCTGAGAAACACAACCTAAAACAGGTGAGCAAGGTTAATACCAAGAATAGTAAGTCGTGTACATAAATGATGAGTCATGAAAATGGCACCTCACCTCTGTGGTCTTCCTCCTAAAACCCCATAATCACAGTCTGATCATGGAAAAACATCAGATAAATCCCAAGGGAAGGAAATACTCCTCCAGGCTGTCAAAGTAATTGAAAAATTAGAAAAATCTGAGAAACTGTCATAATTAAGAGGAACCTGAGGAGACACAATGCAGCATTCAGAATGAACTGCTGTAACAAAAGTCATGTAAAGCAAAAACACTAAGGAAATTGAACAAAGAATGGGTTTCAGTTAATATTAACGTTCTCTATTTCATGAATTGTAACAAACAGGAAAAAATGTAGGAGCCTAGATGTGAGGTGTATGGGGACTTCCTCCACATTTTCATTGCAATTTTTCTATAAACATGAAACTGTTGCACAAAAGTTTACTTAAAACAAAGTTACTATCACAAAGCTTTTCCACATAATGCATTCTACCCAACCTACCCAAACCAGCTCACATTTGTCATAGTTTTTCATAAATCATAAAATCATAATTTTAAATAGTTACATTCAACTGCCAATCATCTGTAGAATGAGAATTCCACTGCAATAAATCTGAGATTATCCAGTCCTGCCAAACAAGGCCATTCATGATATGGCCAGCTATGTTCACACTAACAGTTCTCTGTAAGCATAAACAAAGCAAACTCAATTAACCCCCAAACACTATCTGATAGGAGAGACATTTTAGCTTGTTCTGCTTCACTCTTCAGCTAGGAAAGTTATATGTGCTTTTAGGTAACTCTGTCCTCATTGCTTTTGAATCCCTATACTCTTATGAAATTCCTTTAAGAAAAATTAGAACATTTCATACAGCATATATAATTGAAAGATTTTATTATTTGAGGAAGTTAAAATTGATTATTGAGTATAGACAAGTAATAAAACATTTAAAAAGCCTTTCATCTACTTACATTAAAAATTTTTGAATCAAGATGGAAGGATATCAGGAATGCTAACACTTGGGATCATTGTTTTGATCGTCCCAATTACTATAAGAGCATTTTTTGATAGTATTTATAAATAGATGATATGTCTCAATGCAAAACTTCTGTGGTTTTACAGGCATAGGTCTATTCAAAACTCAGGACAAGATCCAAACTGTGAAGAAAAATGGGTCAACTGGTGGGCTCTGCTGTGAAACATCATAGCAACTATTCAATTATAACCTTAAATAGATATGATAGCAATTCACCTTTATCAAAATGTTCAGCTACACAGACTCCCTTTTAATAGAATGAACTAAATATTTCCTAGTACATTAACAATTATAAAGTTTGAAAAATCAAACACTAAATATCAGGCATAGGCTCATAACAAAATCACAATGATACCAGTAAAAACTCACATGTCATTTTGAAAAAAATATAGATATTCCTTAAATTTATGGAGGAATAAGGGTTGGAAAAACATTGCACGTTGCAGAAGTGGCAAATGAAACCGATATCATACAAGTATAAGGATAGAACCATGTGCCTCATGTCATATGGCAATGACCACGATCACATTTTACTTAAAATTTAAACAATTATTAATTATTTTTTGAGTGACCTGAATTTTTTTTGAAATATAGTATGCAAAACTGGATGAGTAGAATTTATTACATAAATTTTTCTTTGATTTGGCTTGATGTGATCTCTGGGAGAATGGGTATGCAGATGTATAAGGCTTAAGGAAATGTCTGGAGGAAGAATCTGACCCGTATTTGGTTCATCTGTAAAATATGAGAAATGAGTAGTAGACTATCAGCTAACAGAATCCCTTCTTGGTGCTAAAATTCTATGAATCACTACTCAGTGTAGACTGCTTTAGGAGGTAGTAACCTAAAGTTTTCAAGCAGGGACTGGTTGAGTATCTACCAAGGAAAAAGGGTTTAATATGAAGACACTTGGGAAATAGGATGAGTATGAATCCAAATGATGCAAAGCTCCCCTCTCCAACCCAGGAGAGGAAATATGCCACGTGGAGGTAGATCTGAAGTCCAAGGCCAAAAACAGAGAAGTTTTATGCCCCAGAGCATATTCTGAAACAGTCTAATTGGGTGATGATATTTGTGTATTATGCAACCTGTTATAACATACAAAAGAAATGGCTTAGGTCTTCATAGTGATTACAAAACAAATTGTTGTTGGATATTTTTTATGTCAGTTTTCACCAAAAAAGCCATATTCCATTTGAAACACAAGAATAAGCATCAATAATGCCATGGAGTAAACACAATTTCTTTCTTTTAATTCCTCACCTCTCTATAATATGGCCCCAGGGTGCGATTTCTCATATAATACACTCAATAGTTGCTTTATGTAAACAAAAGAATAAACAGTACAGTGCAACCCTCTAAGACACTGCCTCAACGGGCGACCATTTTAATGAGGTTTATGACTAACAGCACTTTTGATATCCAAATGCAAGTTCCCTCTGTGTGTCCTAGAATTGTCCCAACTCCATTTGTTCTTGACACTGCCCAATATACTCTTATGGAGCACTTTGCTCTCTACCGATGTGTCTAAGTGTGCTTTAACTATTCATCCAATTTAGCTTAACAAACAATGTAATTGTGCAGCAAAATCTTTAATCTTGAAGGAGGAGGAGGAGTAGAAGACTGGAAGAAGGACAAGAAAATCCTTTTATTCCTTTTGATAGATTAAAGAAGCAGAAGCACCAGCACTGTCTGAAAATCAAACTGCAAGAAGAAACAGAGTTGGATTTACAAAATCTTTGAGTTTGGTATGGGATTCAGTTTATACACTGAGAATGTGCCCCACACTCAGGACTCAAGTCCTTGTAAATCTTAGCAGTTAACTACATTGTTTTGCACCTACTGTCCAGGAAAATGTCATTTAAGTATTGATTAAAAATATATATATATATATGTGGATAAGAGTTCTAGAAAACAAGAGGAAAATTAGGGGGGAAAGCAGCGTATGTTTGTTCACAGCCTTGAGTTGATTCCTGTTTAGTTATTGTCGGAAAATGTCTTATTTTAGATCAAAGCGATGGGGGGGCAGCCATGGGTGCCGCTCTGGAATTCAACCCATGTGGAGGTTGAAAAAAAACTGAGGTTTGGACAGTGGGGAGGTGAAGGTGGAATATGAAGAGGTCCATGAGAAAACAGCTATGCTTCCCTCCAGTCTTCTCAACCTGGCTCAATTGGCTGCTCAAAATCCCATCCCAGAGGCAAATTGAAGTCAGAGGAAAAAACGATCTTGACCTCAACTCAAATGTAGGAAAGAGACCAGTGCAGCTCCTCTTGTGCAGCACGTGCTGCTCACATTGTGTCGTGGCGCCGGCGGTGCAAGGACAGGTGGTCGGAGCGAGAGAAGCTGCGGTTGCAGTCTGTGCACCGGAAGGGCTTGATGCCCGTGTGCTTGCGGAAATGGCGGGTTAGCTCATCTGAACGAGCAAATTTCCAGGAGCAGCCATCCCAGGTGCATTTATAAGGCTTCTCTCCTGAAAAGAATGTGACAAAACAAATGGAATCAGAGGGGAGATGCTTGACCACGAGCTGACAAAATGACACATATATTTCTTATCATGGTGTTAGCAAACAGGTAAGAATTTTTAAGACATACTCTCATTCATGCATAAAATTAATTAGCTGATTTACAAATTACATTTATATTTTGAACACAATATGATATTTTGAAATATCACTGTATACATTGTGGATTAACTACATAGAATTTACACATGCCTAATCTCGCACATTAATTTGTGATGAGAACACCTCAAATTACTCTTAGTATTTTGAAAAACAATACAATATTATTCACAGTAATCCTGAGAGTACAAGAGTGGAAAAATACAGAAGCACTGCCTTACATAGGCCTTCATTTGAATCCTGGCTCTAACAAACTGTCTTTCCTGGTTGGATCTCTGTTTCTTCATTCTCTCAGGAATGTTCAAAACATTTTGTTAACAGGTGGCTAGTACAGAGCAAAACTAGAGCCCAACCTCAGATCTTTCGCTACTTCCCACTATGCCAAAATATAGCAACCATAGCGTCTCCTTAATTTTCCCAACAAACATTCTGAAATAAGAGCCATACACACAGCCAGAACATATGATTCAATAGAAAAGGGATCTTAGCTAAGGCTAACAATCCTTTTCTGTGAAGAGTCAGAAAACAAAGGACATGGGATAGGCACAGATCTTGGGTCAAACTTTTTCAAATAACCTCACACTCAAAATCTTCAGGTTGCATCTGGATTATATATGGAAACATGTGTTCAGGATAGAAACTAAATAGGAAAAGCATGCTTAAAAAGCAAGACAATGGAACCGGCACGATGGCTCAGTTGCTAAATCCTTGCCTTGCATGCTCCAGGATTCTATATGGAGGCTGGTTTGGGTCCTGGCTACTTCACTTCCCATCCAGCTCCCTGCCCGTGGTCTGGAAAATCCCAAAGCCTTGGGATCCATGTGGGAGACCTAGAAGAGGCTCTTGGCTCCTGCATCCTGGCTTTGAATTGGCGAGCTCAGCTCTGGCCTTTGTAGCCATTTGGGGAGTGAGCCAGTGGATGGAGGACCTTGCTGTCTCTACTTCTCTCTGTAAATCTGATCTGCCTTTCCAATAAAAATAAATAAATCTTTTTAAAAAGTAACACAGGATAACCTCACTCTGTTGTTTAAATCACACATAGAATAAGAACTAAATTAATACTTATACACTTCAATATAAAATACGAGACGATTTATTAGTAATGATGAGGCATGGTGAGAAGATGGCTTTTCATTTTTCACTTTCACACCCTTTTGTATACTCTGAATGCTCCTGCTGTTGTATGTATCAAAAATTTTAAAATAAAAAAGAAGCAATATGAATAAAAACAAAAATAAACTGTGGTTACAAATGGGTTGTACAATTAGGTAATTTTACTTAATGCACTTAACTGTTTTCCATCTCATATAAGAAGTATTTATTATTTTGTAATCAGAAATGAGTAATAATGCACATACAAATCGAAGTGTTACTTTCACAGTCTCTCCCCCACCCCTTCATTCTTGCAAATTCACCAGGGCACTTAATTTCATTTTGCTCTAAATTCTGGTAGCAATCTGGTCTGCACATACTGTTTTTCAACTTACTGCTCACCACCTACTAACCCTCTGAAGTGTTCGCTAATTAACTGTATGTTTTCAAATACTGGGCAACAGAATAAAATCCAGCCTGACTCACAGCTATGAACCATATCTAAGCAGCCATTTTGATAGTTAAAGATACCAATTGTTGACCATATCAATACTCAGAGATGTCTGCATTAGCATAGTTAGAAGAACAGCTTAGGGCTGAGACAAAAGCTAGCACAATGGGATGTTATCAAATGAAACGACAATGCTGCTGAACAACTGCACACACACACACACACACACACACACACACACACAAAGTAGAGTCCCATTTGTTTTCTAAAGCACTGGGTATCTTTTTTCATGCATGCGTGCACACACGTGTACACACACACACACACACACACACACACCCCCCAAAGGAAAATGCAGAAGGCTTCACCGAATACTATTAACATGGGGGGGAGGGTGAGATTTCAGAGGGTGCTGAGAACGTGTGAACGGTATTTTGGTTTTGTGCCATACAATTTTATATCATCTCCACAACCCTCAACTGCTACACTGCTGTATTTTGTTGTCATCTTTCCAGAATTTCCCCTGAGACTTTTTTCTCTTCCCTTCACCCAAATGAAATCACATAAAAGTGATGTGTAAGGCAGTGACACCCTGTGGTGATTGGGGCTCACTGCTAAAACACACAAACTCATGTAAGAAGGAACTCAGAAATAAGGACTATTTTCCTTTTCAATAACTATCCTTATCATTTATAACAGACTCTGTTTATGACAACTTCATATGACGCAATTCATAATGCCTACCAGCTTACCATCTAAACTGAAGAATAAGACATACATAGGGAAGAGGAATTTATAACATAAAACATATGGCATATGTGGCAAAGACAGTATATGTTATATGATTTCCACTCTTTAAGAGTGAAAGCAGTGATACGGAGGCATGTGGAGGTGTTAGATGAGTAGAACAGACAAAAGCAACTTAGTCAGCAGTTGGGGCAAGGTATGGTAAGGCAGTACATAGACTCACCATCCTAGAGGATGAGGCATCATTGTAAGAGTACTGAGATGATGCCTATTATTAAAAAGCTAGAGTATTATTTGTACTTAATAAAAAGTAGGAAGGAGGTTGGGAGCAGTGTGAATTAGCGGTGAGCCTTAATGGGGATGATTGACAATAGAAATTTTTAAAATAATAAAACAGTCTAAAATGAGTTTTTCTTATTACCACATGCCAGTTTCAAACTTTGTCATTGAAAAAATACTTTTCATTGACAGGACAGACAGCTCCCACACCCCTCTTCTTGGTACACCACTTCACGGCGGCAACTGGAGTGTGTGTGAAGCTAATACAAGGTATTTCTAACTCAAAGGTCACTTGACCAAAGTTGTACATGAAAATGATAGTCATGATATATATGGTGGATCATAGTGAAGACTTTACTAGAATACACAGTGTTCTTAAACAGTTAGCTTAGATTAACTGTCAAATTAGTGAGGCAATCATGAATAAATGTAATTAAAAATCTAAATGGGTGGCAAAGGGATTGCAATTGAAAAAAATTAGTATCAGCTATTTATGATAATGTCTATTGACAGTTTAATATATGCCAGATGCTGCAAGCGTTTTACCCTGTTTCTGTTCTCAGATAATGAAACAAGTGAAGGCAGTGGATGATTGGTTTAGGAACTAAGACACCCACACTCTATATCATAAATGCTTGAGTTTGCGCCTCAGCTCCCACTCCTGATTCCAGCTTTTTGCTAATTCAAGCCCTGGTAGGCAGCAGTGATGAATCAAGTTCACTAGGATACTATGGGCAATCTATATTGTACTTCCAGCTCCTGGCTTTGGCCCCCAAATCAAAGGCATTTGGGGAATGAACCAGTGGGTGACTTTCTCTGATAGTCTCTCTCTCCCACCCCGCACCTGTGTGTGTATGTGTGTGTGTGTACCTGTCTGTCCTTCTGTCTCTGCTTCTCAGGTGAATAATAAATGATAAATCTTGAGCCTATGCCAATGGACGGTATCATTACGTAAAAAAAGCTGGAGCCTGTCAATGTGCCTCGTGCAAACTATTGCATGTGTATTGTCTGCTTTGTATGATTAAAAAACTCAGAAGATCAAGGGTTACATTTCTTGCTAGAGGGGTTTTAATAATCAGTAAGAGCCTGCGAGCTCTCCCTTGAAACAGTGTCTGACACAAATAACGATGTCACTCTTTAGGACTCCTAGCAATGACTGTAATCTCTGAAGGGTGATGAAACTGCCATTAGAGCAACTGATTTGGTCCCAAAGAACTTGCGAAATACCAGCAAATAGCATATACCAAGGCTGCATGCCAAGATAGATTCCTACATGTTTTTCTCACTTACTAGTTGTGCAATTATTGGCAAACTTCTCATTTCAGTATACTTGCATTCCACCAAGTCACCAAAAACAGAAAAGTGGGAGTCATTCATCTCCTTCTATCTCCAATAACAACATCTTAGTCATCATGTTCTTTTTTTTAATTTTTGGTATGGATCAATACATTAGCCCTGAAATGGTCTTCTCGCTATTTTGTACCTCAGTGCTATCTCCACTTAGAATTACACTCACTATGTCCTACCTGTCTATAATCATTCCCTAAACTGGCCCATGCTATCATGACTAAAGCATGTCTTCTTCTTTTTTTTTTTTAAAGGTAAAACCTGTCTATAAAGCATCTTTGAGTTACTATATCTGAGATCACATACCCACTTAATCCCGAGAATAATGTAGAATCAGAACAACACTGATTCTAACTGAAGTAAGAGTCAAGGAAACATTAGTTGTTATCATTGTTTATCAGGATGCCATGATCTCTCTTACAGGCATGGGGAACCTTTTTCCTGCCAAGGATTTTACATCATTTTGGCCTATACGAAATTTTTAACTTAAAAATTAACATGCTACACATTTATTGAACTTTAGGTCCCTCCTACAGATTTCTTAGCAGAGCCAGCATAAATCATTTCATGGGCACTCTCTAGCCCACGGGCCAGATGTTCCCCATGCCCGTATACACACCAAGCTTAGAGTTATATGTTGGCTCTATCTTCTCCCTTCATACAGGAAGGTATCTTCTTGCTCATACAGGAAGCTAATATCAGTAGAGGAAAAGAGTACTGACTTTTGAAAGACAAATAAAAGTAAGTAATATCTAGAGCCTGGTACAATTGTTCAATTGGCTAATTATCCCCTTGTAAACGCCAGGATCCCATATGGGTGCCACTTTGTGTCCCAGTTGCTCTCCTTCCCATCCAGCTTGTGGCCTCAGAAAGCAGCAGAAGATGACCCAAAGCCTTGGGACCCTGCACCCACACAGGAGATCTGGAAGAAGCTCCTGGCTCCTGGCTTCGGGTCAGCTTAGCTTCCGGACATTGCAGCCACTTGGGGAGTGAAACAGGGCATGAAAAATCTTCCTCTCTGCCTCTCCTTCTCTGTATAAATCTTACCTTTCCAATAAAAATAAATAAATCTTTAAAAAAATTATATCTACTATTATCTCAGTTCAAAAATAAAGAGGTGATACATGAAAGAAAGCCCAACCTATAGTATCTTAAATACACTTCCAACCTGTTATAATTGGGACATACACTGGAATAAATTAAATTCAAATCTTAGGTCTCCAGATTATGGTAGTCACATGGGAGCACTTATCCAATCATTCCATTTTAATTGCAGAAATGCGACATCAGAGAGCTAGAGAGACTTGAACCAGATGAAGTGAGCACTTAGTTGGAGAACTGGGATTAAAACTCAGATTCGTGTTCAGTGCTCTTTTCTCTTTACTTTGATGAACTATAATTTTAAAATCCAGAGGGGAAATATGTGAACGGGTAACCTTTTAGTATATAAAGGAAACAGATATAGAAAGAAAAGGACAGCTGAACTTAATACTAGCTGCCTTAATCTACAATACATATAGGCTACTGCCTTGATTCTCATTAGCTGAATTCATTCAACTGCCTTCAGACCTTCAGATCTACTTTCTAAGTTTATAATCTAAACCCACTGATAAATTAACATCCTATAGAGACAATCAAATGACATTGCCATGAGACAGAAAGTATAACACCTTTAATAATCTAATGTTGCCAAAAATTCAAGTTGAGTTTCATTAATTCTCCATAGTAAGCCATCAACTTATAGTAACTATGGTGAACAATGAATGTATTACAATGATATAATAAAGATATAAAAATTCAGAACACGGAAAACTATTGAAAAAATTGACCAATGTTTTGGAACAAATAAAGTATAAGACAAAAGAGGCAGAGAAATTCAATTATATAAGACAATTATAAGAAATATCAACCAAATTCAATGAATGATCTTTCTTTAGATACTGATTTGAACAAATCTTGTAAAGAATAGTTATTATTTTGAAAAATATTATAATAAAGAAATTTTACGTGCTAATTATATTGTGCTTATTTTGATGTCTGAAGTGGGAATGCAGAGGACACAAAATTGGAAGACTGATATCATTTATGAAGTTTCCTGAAGAATATGCCAAAACCCAATAAACTATTACTTTTTCTTTGTTAAAAGTTTAGGCTTTGGGCCTGGCATCCTCACCTTAAATGTGCTAGGGTCCCATATGGGTGTCAGTTCTAATCCCGGCAGCTCCACTTCCCACCCAGCTCCCTGCTTGTGGCCTGGGAAAGCAGTCGAGGACGGCCCAAAGCCTTGGGACCCTGCACCCGTGTGGGAGACCCAGAAGAAGCTCCTGGCTCCTGGCTTCGGACTGGCTCAGCTCCCACCATTGCAGCCACTTGGGGAGTAAATCATGGGATGCAAGATCTTCCTCTCTGTCTCTGTATATCTGCCTTTCCAATAAAAATAAATGAATCTTTAAAAAAAAAAGTGTAAGCTTCAATGTAACAAATATATGGCAAATTAAACTGAACCTGTGAATCCCTTTGAGTGAGTATACCTGAGACCACAGACCCATGGAAAAGTAGTCAGTAGAATCAGATTCCATTCTTATGAAATAAAAGCAAATAAAAACATTAATAAAGAAGAATAAAGCTATGGAAATATTGGAACAATGAAGCTTGGACACTGATCCCTTGCTCACAGCCTCAAGACACAGCAACAAGGGTTCTGGATCTTTCAATACACATCTACACTTGATCTTGGCCAAAAGGCTGATAAGTGATCAACATACAGCTTAACACAGTGAAAGCAGAGCAGAAAATATTGACAAGAACAGAGGGCTTCTTCCTTGTCCATGTTACCTAAGTCTCAGTTCTAAGCTGGAAGTCACAGACTCCAAGAGCACAGACTTGCAGGTAGAATGCTGCATCTGGCTTCTAGGTAGGTCCCTGGGAATTCTTAGGGTCATTAAAGAAGTTTTGAACTGGATTTTAAATTAAAAATCTAAGACTGTTCACATAAGTGTTGTTGTTGTTCTTTAAAACCTGACATTTCTTAATATTCAGGTGGAGATGAATGGCGCTTCTTTCAAATGGGGCATGTGTACTGCCATTTGACTCAATCATCATCAAGTCGGTTTTACTTATTTATGTACAACATTTTTTCCCTACTGTTAATAAAAAGTACATCGTATGTTAATGCATGGTGCTGATCTCCAAAATTCTGCTTTAATTTTACTAACTTTAAATTGCTGTTGTCCTTCTCCATGCTCAGAAAACCCTATGGGAACCCTGGTAGTATAGGAGGAAATAAAATCCTAGTTTTCTTAATCTTTGTTTCAGTGCTACAAATTTCCAATTAGAATCGCAATGGTGATGATGCAAAGTGTTTTCCTAGGGTTTTTTTCCCCCCCTCTATGTTGCCTTATAGTAAGAACAAGGCAAAGGTTAAAAACATTAAATGGAGCCTGTACATATAACTACAAATAAATCAGTCTTTATTTCAAGAATTCCTTCTCTACCTAGCTTTCGGATTGTGTGTGTGTGTGTGTGTGTGTGTGTGTGTGTGAAGGTTGAATGGGCTGGCAGACCTGTGTGGATCCTGCGGTGAGCTTTCAGGTGAGAGCTTTTGGTGTACACTTTGCTGCACCCTGCAAAGTCACATTGGTGAATCCGTCTTCTCTTCAAATCAAGCGATTCTTCTCCCTGCATCTGTGCCATTGCAGTTGGTCTGTGCAAAGAACCAGATAAGGTCAAAGACTTAGAGACTAAAGAGATAGGATTATATACAATAGTGTCATATCATACCTGCTTTGAATTTATATAAATTTAATGCCGGGTCACCATGGAGAAAAATAATTGGAATAGCAAAGACAATCTCTCAATCGACCATTCCTCTCAGAAAATACATGTTTTTAGAAAGCATGCAAAATGGTAATATTTTCTTGGTTAGTTATATTCCCAGTGGGAGCATTTCACTTCGATGGTGTCATTCTTATGCCTAAATATTAAACTTATTTTTCATGCAACATTGTCAACTACTTAGAATTAGCTCCAACATTGGAAGACAATTCTGTTTTAAACTTAACAGAATGAACCACAACTGTACTTTATGGAAAATTTGAGGATTTTTCAAGGTTGAAATTGATGATCTATAATGAGAACATAACTCCATCACAATATGCCTGTGCATGCACATATGTACACACAGGCTCACATGCTTTCGCTGGTAGAGAAATTTACCTATATTTTGAGTTCCACAAATTTCTACTCTTGTGTGTGACAATCACCTTCAATATGTCTAAGTGCAGGCACATGCACATGCACACATACACATGCAAAGACCTGAAGCAAAGACAAAAATACTCGCTGTAGGGGTGAGTGTTGGGAAATAGCAAACAAGTCTGCCACATGGGAAGTGCACAGCCCCTAGCAGAGGGCCAGACCCAGTCTTGGCTACTCTACGATTAGCGCAGCTTCCTGCTAATCCATACTCTCAAAGGCAGCACGTAATGCCTCAAGCACTTGGGCCTCAGCCACCTAGGATGGAAATCTGGATGGAATTCTGGGCCTCTGCCTTTGGCCTGGCTTAGAATTGGCTGTTGTGGCCACTTGGGGAATGAATCAGCAGATGGAAGGCTCGCTCCTCTCTGTTTCTCATGTAGATGAAAATAAACATTTTTTAAAAAAATACTCACTCTTGCTGCAGTCCCTGCAGACCCTGCAAGGCGGAGGAGCCACTCTCAATTGCACTCTCCTCACCGTCACTTGGAATCTCCAGTGCAGACATGGAGGTGGGGTCAACTTTCACTGAAAGCAGAGAAACGGGGCAGTGTGTACCAGAACACAGTTGCCTGTGTAATAATTTTCTTTGTAGTTATTTGCATGATTCCCGGTTTGGCCCACATTGAGAAGAAACAGAAAGATAGATAGCCTAGCAACTAAAGTCCTCGCCTTGAACATGCCAGGATCTCATATGGGCGCTGGTTCTAATCCTGGCAGCCCCACTTCCCATCCAGCTCCCTGCTTGTGGCCTGGGAAAGCAGTCAAAGATGGCCCAAAGCAGGCACGGTGCGATGGTGTAGTGGTTAAGGTCCTCACCTTGCATGCCTGGGATTCCATATGGGCGCCGGTTCTAATCCCGGCAGCCCTGCTTCCCATCCAGCACCCTGCTTGTGGCCTGGGAAAGCAGCCGAGGATGGCCCAAAGCTTTGGGACCCTGCACCAGCTTCGGAGGCCCAAAAGAGGCTCCTGGCTTCACGTTGGCTCAGCTCCAGCCGTTGCGGCTGCTTGGGGAGTGAATCATCGGACGGAAGATCTTCCTCTCTGTCTCTCCTCTCTGTATATCCTCCTTTCCAATAAAAGTAAAATAAATCTTTAAAAAAAAAAAAAAGATGGCCCAAAGCTTTGGGATCCTGCACCCACATGGGAGACCTGGAAGAGGCTCCTGGCCCCTGGCTTAGGATCGGGTCAGCTCCGGCCACTGTGGCCACTTGCAGAGTGAATCATCAGATGGAAAATTATCCTATCTGTCTCTCCTCCCCTCTGTATATCTGACTTTGCAATAAAAATAAAATAAATCCTTAAAAAAGAAAAATCATAAATGAAACATTGTATTTATAAAAAAGGAAGATTCACGCTTCCAGTTTTTAGCATGGTGAGGAACAGAAGTGCTTGCAGGGACAGGTGGCAGGGAGCATGGTGATGTGATGAGGATGCGCCTTCCTTTGTGATGAGGTCAGAGTGTGATTCATTTTTCCATTTCTAACTCACAGGAGCAGGCCTCAAGTCAGACTTCCTGTATGTTTATTGAATTGACCTTTCTCATTCCTGGCTTCCCGGATCAATTTCTAGGATCACCTCACAGGTTAAGACATTCCCTTTGGCCTTGCGTCTGTGCTCCTCAATGCAAATCATGGGACATGTACCTAGCACCTAGCAGGTACCTGAAGCAGGTTAGCTCCCTTTTTTTTTAATTTTTTTTTTTTAAAGATTTATTTTTATTATTTTTTCATTGGAAAGGCGGATATACAGAGAGGAGAGACAGAGAGGAAGATCTTCCGTCCGATGATTCACTCCCCAAGTGAGCACAACGGGCCGATACTATGCCGGTCCGAAGCCAGGAGCCTCTTCCTCTGTGTCTCCCACACGGGTGCAGGTTCCCAAAGCTTTGGGCCGTCCTCGACTGCCTTCCCAGGCCACAGGCAGGGAGCTGGAAGGGAAGCGGGGCTGCCGGGATTAGAACCAGCGCCCATAAGGGATCCCGGGCGTGCAAAGCGAGGACCTTTAACCACTTGCGCCACCGCGCCGGGCCCAGCTCCCTTTTTTTTCAGCTACGTTAGGAGAAACCCTCACATATTCCTTGTCATGGATGTTTTCAAATTCTAACTAAAACTCAGTCTAGTAGCTAGAAAACTTCCAGATCAAGTGAGAACCTCAAAACTCTTATATCAAAGAAACTTAAAGGCGAGGAGGACCCAATCAGCATTTTCCTAAAATATTGCTTTTCAAGCAGTGTGTAAGCATGACTGGAGGGGGAGAAAAGAGATAAGAAATAGGCCAACCCAAAAAAGGAACACTGGAAGGGGAGAAACAAGGGTTGATGCTCACCTGATCCAGCATTTTTGCCATCTCCTCCTATGAGTGGGACTGTAATGGCTGCAGGGCCGCCATCTGCCGGCAAAGCGGTATATACCATAGGCAGAGACTGCACGACCACTGGAATGGTCTTCAGGCCACCGATCTTATTTGGCAGAGTGACTGAGGGGATGGTGTGAATCACATGTAAGATCTGCTGACCACCAGCGGCCTGAGAGGAAGCCAGGATAGAGCCTGGAGTTAAAACAGTAGGGATGTTGGCTGGATTGCTTGTGTCACATGCTGGTGCTGACACGACAAGGGGCTGCGGTGCTGGCTGTGGTCTGGGAGGACGTATCGGAGCTTGCAGCATGCTGGCAGGCTGGAGAGGAGCCTTGGGCTTGTGAAACGAGAGGTCAACTGGCTCCACCTGGGGCAAGCTGTAATCACTAGCCAGAAGCTCCTCTGGTGGCTCAGTTTTGATGTCATTAAACAGTACCGGATTCTCCATGGTGTTCGCATCTAGGAGTTGTGAAGTCATCATATTGACTCTGCCTGCTGTCTGAGAAGCTTCTCTGACCCGGACAGGGCTAGAGATCTGAAATAAACAAAGTTTCCAAACAGTATTAGTTTTTATATTAGCAAAGAAAGAAATCTCTATTCCTTTTCCATAGAAAAATATACATGGTCTTCCTCTCTGTCTCTCCTCCTCTCTGTCTGACTTTCTAATATAAATAAATAAATCTTTATTTTAAAAAATGGGTCTGGTGTGGTAGCCTAGTGGCTAAAGCCCTTGCCTTGCATGCACCGGGATCCCATATGGGTGCTAGTTCTAATCCCAGCAGCTCCATTTCCCATCCAGCTCCCTGCTTGTGACCTGGGAAAGCAGCTGGGCACGACCCAAAGCATTGGGACCCTGCACCCACATGGGAGACCCAGAAGAAGCTCCTGGCTCCTGGCTTCAGATCAGCTCAGCTCCAGCCATTGCAGCCACTTGGGGAGTAAATCATGGGATGGAAGATCTTCTTCTCTGTCTCTCCTCCTCTCTGTATATCTGACTTTCCAATAAAAACCAATACATATTTAAAAATAAATATACATGGCATTAGGAAAATGACTCAGGAGTGCACTAAAAGTATGGAATTACTGTATCATTTTGTCATACTAATAAAAATCACTCCATGTAATTTTCACATTAACTGCAATATGAATGAAGGTTATAACTTTCTGAGTAGTAAATACAAGCATTATGCTAAGCCTGGCAGCAGCATAAATGAATAAGGTACAGCCAAGACTAGCATCTAAAAAAAAGACTTATTTACTTTTACTGGAAAGGCAGATAGGCAGAGAGAAGGAGAGACAGAAACATCTTCCATCCACTGCTTCACTCCCCAAGTGGCCATAACAGCCAGAGCTGAGCTGATCCGTAGCCAGCAGCCAGGACTTTCTTCCGGGTCTCCCACGCGGGTGCAGGGTCCCAAGGCTTTGGGCTGTCCTCGACTGCTTTCCCAGGCCACAAGCAGGGAGCTGGATGGGAATGGAGTAGCCAGGATACAAACTGGCATCCAGGTGGGATTCCGGTACATGCAAGCCAAGAATTTTGGCTCTAGGCTATCATGCTAACCCCAAGAATAACATATTAGGGCCTGGTGCGGTGGCCTAGCAGCTAAAGTCCTTGCCTTGCACGTGCCAGGATTCCATATGGGCACCAGTTCTAGTCCCGGTGGCCCCAATTCCCATTCAGCTCCTTGTTTGTGCCCTGGAAAAGCAGTGGAGGACTGTCCAAAGCATTGGGACCCTGCACCCACGTGGGAGACCCAGAAGAGGCTCCTGGCTTCGGATTGGCTTAGCTCCAGCCACTGTGACCATTGGGGAGCGAATCATCAGATGGATGATCTTCCTCTCTGTATATCTGATTGTCCAATAAAAATCAATATTTAAAAAAAATAACATTAACACAATAATTATGACATGAGATAACTTACAAGTTGTAGCATGACAAGTGATGTAATAGATAATAAACAAAGTGTTTTTGAAAAAGAAAGGATACAATTCAGGGAAGGCTTCAAAGAGGAAGTGATATTTTAGATAAGCCTTAGAGAAGTAATAGAACTAATTTATGCAGAAAAGAGGTAATAGAGGCATTTCAGTTGGCAGAGGCATAACAAAATTGAACTCTAAAACTTTAAAACTGTAATATTTAATAAATGATCATATATGTAATTTATTGCATAAACTCTATCCCCTAATAAAAATATTCTAAAATTTTTATGAATTTGAAAGTCAAGGATATTGTGAGCAATGTGTACCATTGGGAACCAATATTCTGCATCTTAAATGAAGCCTTGGATGACGGCGTTACTTAAGTCAATAAACAAGACATGCCTCTATTCTCTATCAGCATCATATCTGAATTATGGGAGTTTTTAAAATGATGACACATTTTCAAAAATGCATCTTTTATATAAAAGTTAACCATATTTTAACTTTACGTACGTGTAAGATAGCGGAAGATGGAGTTCAGAGAAAGCATGTGTGATGGAAGCTGCTTGGAGGAGGGGAGTGACACAGGTAGAGCGAATTCTAGCTGCTCAAAGAAGGTTGGGTGTGAGAGCACCGAGATTGTATCCAAAGGAAATAAGTGGAAAAATCCTTATGAGAAACTTAGGAGTCAGTCATTTGGAGACATCTAAATGTTTACTGAATGACATTACAGAGTTATTAATTCTACTGTTTGACAATGAAATTATAATAGTTATTTTGTAATTAGATAAAAGTGAGTACTTGAGAGGGCTGGAAAATATGGGGACTTAATGTCCTGTTTTCGAGATTTGCTTGAAAAACAGAGAGAGAGAGAGTGAAAGACTTGGAGAGAAACATTTTCCATTGCAGGTTCAGTCTCCAAGATGGCCACAGTAGTTGGGGCTGGGCCTAAGCCAAGAGCCACAGACGTCATTTTGGTGTCCCACCTTGGCGGCCTAAGCACTTGGGCCAGCATCTGCTGTCTCCAGGAGTATTAGCAGAAACACTGCACTGGATGCATAGAGTAGCCTGGACTGGAACCAGCACTCTAACACGAGATGTTGGCACTACAAGCAATGGTTTCACCCTGTGCCCCACAATTCCACCTCTTGCTCTCACTTCCATTGACAAAACCCTCAAAATAGGCTGAGAATGACTAATGGCACCAAAATAATCCAGAATCCACTCAGACTGCCATCTGTTTCTCCCCTCTGCTATTCTAAGACACTCTTGGTTTCTTGATTTGTAAACTCCCACGTCAACTCAGGTCTTGTTTACGGTCCAAATGTTGCTTCCACTTTTCCCTCCAAGACATGATTCCTGTGTCTTATACAGATTTGCATATTTCTGAGGTCTTACCTAAAAGGTGGATTTAAGCCATCCAGGGAAGGGGGAATGGTAAAATCCTGTTGTCAGGGACCAAGGGCGAGATAGGGAGAAGCTGTCATGAGTGACTTTGCTGGACATAAAAATCCCTTGTCCTGTGAAATGTACAAAGAAATTTAAACTCTTATTTGCTCTACAGTTTCTGGTTAGTCATCACCTGCCTCAGTCAGTTTCCAGATCAAAGGGGAAGGATCCAGGGCATCTCTAGAGAACAGTAGGAAGGGTAGCTCTTTTCACAGTCTAGTATGTATCATGGCTGTTAAGAACAGTGAGAAATGCAGCCTATGGTGAAGTGTAATATTGATTTTTTTTATATAAAAATGTAGATTATGTGGCCTGGTGTGATACCCCAGTGGCTAAATCCTTGCCTTGCATCAACCAGGACCCCAGGTTCTAATCCCGGCTGCTCCACTTCCCATCCAGCTCCCTGCTTGTGGCCTGGGAAAGCAGTCGAGGACGGCCCAAAGCCTTGGGATCCTGCATCCACGTGAGAGATCTGGAAGAAGCCCTTGGCTCCTGGCTTCAGGTCTGCTCAGCTCCAGCCATTGTGGCCACTTGGGGAGTGAACCAGCAGATGGAAGATCCTTCTCTCTATATCTCCTTCTCTTTATATATCTGCCTTTCTAACAAAAATAAAATAAAATCTTTTTTTAAAATGTAGATTATGAGCACAGATATATAAAGACACATCCTGCCTATTCACATTAAGAAAAACATCTATCTAAATTTCTAGAAAGTTTTTGTCTTCTATGTTTTAGGTCCAAAAAAATAAAGATGAAGCTATGAATCCTAAACATAAAATGGAGGCTATCGTGCCAAACACAGGCCATTCCCAAGAATGAACTAAAGTGCATGGCCTGCGCTTGGGTGGCACTGGATTTACAGTTATTTATTTTATGGAAAAATCCATTATTTAGGAATATACTAAATAGAAACAATTGATACAGAAACTGAACAAAACTACCTTTTTGCTGTCTTGATGAGATACAATGCTATAGCCTCTTGCTACAACATGCCCTTTTTTAAACAAAGCCTATCATTTACTAGATAAAATTCTGTCTACAACAGGACTCCATTCCTTGTTCCTTTGTTGTCATCATCACAGGCTTTGGAAAAATGCAGAAAAGTTACTTGGTTTTAAGTTTTCAATAGTAACTCTCCTAAGTTACATAAGTTTCTATACACATCATGTACAAGTAAGTCTGTTAGAGCCAAGTAAATGCAGCCTCAGCAACCACAACTACTATCCAGGCGTCCCTGCTGTTCTCTGCAAGAAAACTCGCCACAGTTGAAAAGCAGCACTCAAGTTTACCTTCCTTCTTCTTGTTTAAAAAAATAAAAAAGTAAATCTTGTAAGTATTATCAAGGGAATATACTACTGTGATCATTTGGGGCATAATAGTGAGGGCAGGTTGGGGATGGAAAAGAAGGAGGGGCAGGGGAGAGAAGACCACCTGCAGAAATATAAAAATAAGTAAATAAATAACATGACACCCTAGATAAAGAGCAAACATTCCACATTTATGGAATGTCTTTATGCACTAGATACTCTTTTTACCATAATAGAACTAAAGCAACTTTAATAAGTCTCCATGCCAAGGGCTTTCAAAAACTTCATGGAAAGCATATTATGAAAAATCATGCATGAATTTCAAAAATATTTACACTGAAATAAACTTACCATTACGTTTCATTTGCATGAGCTATTTGAATAACCTTTCATGTAGTCTAATTAATCTCCTATTTCGAATCTCCCATCCCTATGGTTTCAGAGGGCATCATGTAATGTTGTCCTTTCTCTTGCTATATGAGTTGAGTTCCTGAAGATTCTGAAGAAGACATACTATACGGGATTAATTATTTTTGGGCTCCACAATTCTGGTGACTTTGGGAATTCTCACTAAGATGGCTCCATTGAGCTGTTCTTTAAGTCAGCTTGCCCTTATAGTCAACACTGCATGATGGTTTCAGTTTTTAAGTGGTTTCTGCTCAATCACTATCTTCTTCAAAGAAAAAGCAGAATCTCTTTCCTTTCTGCTATTTTAAAGCTTGAGGCTGCCACCTTGTAAGATTCCTGACTCTGTGTAAAACATTGTAACATGTGAGTGGTTTTAATTTCCTCTCCTATGAAGAACCATGATCAGATTACTGTAAGTCACTCTGGGTTAGCAAAAAAGAATTACTTACTGA